CCATGCAAAATTTTTATGGGCTCTTGAAAGAGAGGGTATTTAATGTCGACGTTGATTTAAATATTTGCTCAAATGTCTGGATGTAAAAAAGTTCATGTGCTTCAATTTTCTGTTGGGAATATATAATTTTCAAGAATCTAGAAGTTATATTTTTGCTGGTGAGTCCGATTATGTATGAATTTCTGATTTCAGGTGCAAAATAAATATGATTTTATAGTCTAGGGGGATTATTTTCTAATTGTTTGTATCATGTAAATCCCCTGCTTAATACCCACCTCTCCTTGGATTGACTTGATTATAAATAAGAATTCGCCAATATAACCCAAAATACACGACAATCATTCATTACTTTAACACTTTTCTCAATTTGACATGGCCTCGTGTTACATACATTAATAAATCTGTACTTTCTGAAACTATTGGGATCCACTGTTTCGAACAGCCTTGTTTCTCGTCTATAATTATGTTACATTTTGCTGAGATCTTTCGTTAATTTTCTAGCAGCATTTTTGTCATGAGCTCGTCATCTCACTCATGTACGGTTCTACAGAAACTGATGGATTGCCGATATGGTCTTAGGTTGCAGTTTCTTGTTTCATGGTAACCTGAATTTACGTGTAAAAATTGGAATTTTAGTTAAATAATTTTGTAACGTTCAATGTCATTTGTTTAGAGAGCTGCATTCATGCTTGCTCGACTTGGCTCATACGCAGCTGTACTCAGTGCCCGGGTACTGACCTCAACATCGAAGCATCTCTAAAACCTCACTCATCATAGGCCGGTTACTGGGTGACAAACTCGTGCAAAGAAGCCCCACCTTGAAAACGACTATAATTTCTTCCAAGAAGCCATCTTCTTTTATGCTCTCATCCAAAGCATCGATGATTGGCTTTTCTTGTCCATAGTGGGCCCACGCCCACTCGGCTAGGCTCATGTCCTCGTTTCCAGTATTGGGTTTCCTTCCGGTCACCAATTCCAACAGCACGACCCCAAAGCTGTAGATGTCGATTTTCTCATTCACCCTCGACGAATGAGCATACTCTGCAATCATAAGTTTTTTTTTTTTTTTTTTTTTTTTCTTTTTTTTTTCATATAAATAATCACTAGGGACTGTTTATGTTTACATGTTCTAATTATTTAGGCAAAATTGCAAAAGGCACTACCTTTAAAGCTTTTGCTATTTGCTTTTAAATCACCACATTTCATATGTTTTGCACATAGAAGAATAAATTTAACTTTCGTTAGATTGGAGCTGACTTGACACACACGAAAAGTCTAATGGAAGTAAAATTTATGTTTCAATCTGCAAAACATATGAAAGGTGGTGGTGCTTTAAATTCAAATAGCAAAAGATGGTGGTGATTTAAACTCAAATAGCAAAATGTGGTGATTAAATTGTAAAAGCCTTAAATGTGGCGCCTTTATATGTAATTTTGCCGATTATTTACTGCCTGGGGCAATGTAGCCAAAGGTTCCAGCAACAGCAGAGACAGTGTTCGACTCACCTTTCTTCATCAAAATCTTGGCTAGACCAAAATCAGCAACTTTGGCCTCAAAATCAGAGTCGAGTAAGATGTTGCTCGATTTCACATCGCGATGGATGATGGGCGGATTGCAATCGTGATGCATATAGCAAAGGCCCCGTGCAGCACCGGTGGCGATTCTTAATCTGGTCGGCCAATCTAAAACGATGTTTTTAAAAGAACTATCGTGTAGCCATCTATCAAGACTTTGGTTTTCCATGTAATCATACACAAGAAGCTTAGAGCCGTGGCTCGAGATGCAACAACACAAGAGCTTCACAATGTTGGAATGGCGAACCGAACCAAGAACTTGAATCTCGGCTTGAAATTCTTTCTCGAGCAAATCATCCTTTTCCATGCCGCTCCAATTCCTGTTGACAGCAATGCATTGGTTTTCAAGGCCCACTTCGATTTTTGTAAACTTCGCCCGAGCGACCACTGCCGATCAAATTACTTTCGGTCAGACTAGACAGAATATCAACCTCGTTGAAATCCAATCTTTGAAATGTCACAAATTCCCATTCGCCTGATTTTATGTCAGTCGATAGGCGACTTTCTCTGCAGTACTTGACTAAAAAACGTGTCATGCAGATGGCGAACAAGCAAAAACGATTGCCGAAAGTAGAATCACAGCAAGAATTCGTGGTGAAAGCTCCCTCGTGCTACCAAATTTGTTGTGACAATAGGAAAGATTGGAGATTTTATTCGCAGAACAAAGATTCGGATTATTCAAGAAACTCTTATCGCATGCATAGTTATCAAGCTCAACAGGAATCCTTCCTGTGAGGTGATTTGAAGAAAGGTTTATGGTGTAGACATATCTATTATTATTATTATTATTATTAGATATCTTAGAGAATAAGTTATGAATTGTTTAATATTTAATAAGAGCTCTTGTCTTGTTGGACAAGTTAAGTCTAGGGTTAGGAGCCTTATATAAAGGACTCCCTCTAGTTTATTTTCTTTAGTTGATTATTGAATGAAAAATGAGATTGTGAGTTTTATCGAGAGAGTATCTCGTTCGTTTATATTTCCCATTCGTACGCTTCCCTACATCAGTTGGTATCAGCAGTCAGTACGATTCGCGATGTCGCCGGGACGAGAAGATGCCGCAGACGAACGACGTGACGCAACCTTCAACGATCGGTTTCAACAGATCGACTACCGATTTGAACAATTGGACGTGCGTTTCACGGATTGGTTTGCCGGTCTTTCGACGGGGATCGAGGATGTGCATTTGACGCTTAACAACGTGATTGTTTCGGAATTGCAGACGAACCGCGATGAGGCTGTGGGCCGTGGCTTTCGCGGGGGAGACAGAGGCGGTTGTGGGGGACGCAGCCATGTCGGGGCGCCCCGGCAGCGATCCCCGCCACCTCTGAACGGCATCAAGGATGGTGACTTTACCTGGTCGGATAACCCGTTGGCAGATCGACCACCATGGCGAGGAAACGAAACCACAGGTCAGCCCCGAGTTCGCGAGCAGCGGCGGGCTGGAGGTAGTTTCGTACATGGAGGCGAATTTTGGGCGTGTGAAAGAGACGATTCCAGTTGCACTTCTGGGCCTCACAAAAGCATTTTTGGGGCTTGTGAGGGTGATGTCGTTTTTGGGCCTGCGCCCAATTCAATTTATTGGGCTGAGGGGAAGGATGAATTTAATCCTTATTTTGGGCCTGAACAGCCACAAACAGGCTTTGACTTCGAGTTTATAGATTACCTGAATTGTGAGCCCGACACGTGCGATATCTACGACGGTCCACCAATTTTTGATGAAGAGCCTTTGGTGACGAAGACATATTTTTGCAGTAATATGGGTCCCGCGTGGGACGTCGCAACTGTTGAGTCTTCGAATGAGCAGCCGTCATTCACACCCGATTTTTTGAGTATTTTAGCCAAAGATGGTTTTTCGGAGCCGAAGCCGAGACTCCATAACTGGTGGGCCATTTTTCGATTGTTGTTCCCGAAGTCTCCCAACACCGGGATGCTTGGCCGTAGTTATAGATTTATGCGCGGTGAACGATGTGGTCTGTTTTGTGTTCATTCGGTTGTGTGGGCTTTGCGTCGGGTGTCGTGTACATGTGACTTTGCGGCAGTTGAATCCTTGACCGAGATTATGTTTACCTTCGAGATTGTTGGACGACTTTCAACCTTCGTGTTCGATCGGGGGAAACGTTCGGGCTGTTGCTGTCTTGAGGACGCCTCCAACGGGAACGGGTCGGATTCGAGGGCGAATCCTGCTCAACCGGGGGAGAATGGTGTAGACATATCTATTATTATTATTATTATTATTAGATATCTTAGAGAATAAGTTATGAATTGTTTAATATTTAATAAGAGCTCTTGTCTTGTTGGACAAGTTAAGTCTAGGGTTAGGAGCCTTATATAAAGGACTCCCTCTAGTTTATTTTCTTTAGTTGATTATTGAATGAAAAATGAGATTGTGAGTTTTATCGAGAGAGTATCTCGTTCGTTTATATTTCCCATTCGTACGCTTCCCTACATCAGTTTAGAGAAGTGAACTTCAAGTGTCCTAATTCAGGCGGGATTTCGCCCGAAAGCTGATTAAAGGACAAGTCCAAATCAAGAAGAAGCGGCAAAGAACCGAACACGGGTGGGATCGGACCAGATATTTATTCCTTGCAAGATGCAGAGTCGAAAGAGACTTCCATGACAATATCTCAGAAGGTAATCCACCCGAAAGTGAATTTCCATCGACTAACAAAGTGGAAAGGTCACGCAGTCCAGTCAATCCTTTCGGGATTGGCCCTGATAACCGGTTGTTACTTGCCTTAAACACAACTAAACTTTCCCATGGCAAAACCTCACCCGGAATTTCACCGGAAAACTCATTGTTACTGATCTCCAAACGGGACAAACAAGGTGCTACAGTTTTACTCGGGAGCTCTCCAGATAAACTGTTATCACTCAGCATTACAGAAGTTAAATTTATTAGAGACCAAAGGGTTGAATGAACTTCACCTGATAAGTTGTTATCATACAACAAAATTAAATTTAAACTTTGGCAATTTCCAGTGATATTGGAATCGTCCCGTTTAAGTTGTTTCGTTCAGCACTCACCCAGGTAAAAGCACCACCTGCACACAAATTTTCCGGCAGATTTCCATTGAAATGATTGTTGGAGACTTGGAAAGATTCGAGTCTCGAGCGACTGCCCATTTCAGGCGGCAAAATTCCACTCAAATCATTCATGAAAACTTTGAACGGCTCGAGGCTCGGTAATAGCCCCAGGCTTTGGGGAATTTCGCCGGACAAACTATTTATGCACAGGCCTAAGAACTCCAATTTCTCCAACTTCCCAAAATCTTCCGGGATTTTACCAGTCAATTTGTTCTCGGATAAATCGAGACTGACCAAATCCAGCGACTCGATTGACTGAGGAATAGTACCTGAAAACGTGTTCAAGTACAGAAAGAATTCTCAGCTTTTTCAAATGGAACAAACCTTCCGGAATGGGACCTTCCATCCATGTTATTCATGGACAGATCCAAATGCTCGAGGCTCGACTGCGCCATCCACAAGAACTTTACCTTCCTCAGATTTCCGAATTCCGGCGGTCAAGTGGTTGTAAGCCAGCACGAGATTCTCGAGATCCGTGAAGTTCGAAATCTCGGTCAAGTGGTTGAAAGAGGCGTAGTTTAGTATCAGAGTTCGGAGCCGAGTCAGGTTGCCGATTGCCGGAGGAATGTCGCCGGTGAACCAGGTCGACCCGAGGTTGATGTACTCGAGCAACTGCAGCTGGTCGATATCGGCCGGGATATTCCCGAAGAAATTGTTCTGCGACAGGTCAAGTCCTGGAGCTTCGTACAGTTTAAAACGGCGATTAGGATATTTCCCGAGAATTGATTTACTTGGAGTCGAATATGTTGGTTTGGGTAGTCACATTGACACTAACGTAATTATTAACAAAGTAATTACACACAATATGGACCAAGATACAATACTTTACTTATCAAGATCAAAACACACTAACTATGACACTCACACACTCTTTTACTTAGATTCTTGGATACTTGAATTATTGAGATTGTTTGCAAATAAAGTGGTCTTGCCTATTTATAATCACCCCTTCCCCTAAAGAACTATCTAGAACTACTTCATAAGCCTAACACTCTTGCCCTTTCTAGACTATTTTAAAACTTACTAACTCATCCACACAAGTCTAGTTCCTACAATATTCTACAACCTTCTTGTATTCTCAATTACCTTCTAGAATCTTCTACATCCTTCCGCTAGCTTCCTCAAGCTTCTAAATCCTTCTACAATATTCCAGAATCTTCTGGGTCGTTCTAGATGCTTCCGGAACCTTCCACAATGTTCCACATTTTTCTGGATTGTTCTAGATGCTTCCGTTCCTTCCTAAAAGGAGGTGTTGTTATTTTAACAAAGTACAATCAGGTTTTCGAAGGTGGGGAAGGAGGACTTCTTGAAGGCGCCGGCAATGTCGTGGCCGGTGAGATTTATTCAGCGCATTGGATTCCGCTCCATTGGTAGTGTGGACACGTGTCGTTCCACGATCGGAGGGATGGGGGATTTCCCCAATTTTGCTTGAGGTCTAGTAAGGTGGCTCTCTCTTTAAGGGAAGCTACAGAAAAAGGCATCAAATGCATGAAAAAGATTAGGGAAAGTTGAATTCTCAAACAGAGGAAGGGTAGTTTTGTCATTTCAAGGTATGGGAAAACTAAGCCAATGTTTTTATAATTTTTTTTTTTTCAGTGATTGTTCTGCTTTGTAAATTTGGAGTGTTTAGGCATGGGATTTATAAATGTGGATTGGTTTAGAAGATGTGAGATTGGATTGATATATAAAAAGAGAATTAACTGAATGAAGAATGCATTGGTCACAAGATGATTGCAAAGTATATATGTATATGGTCAAAAGTATCATTAAAAAATTTATTTTAGTATATGTTTTTTTTTTTATTTCATTACAAAAATTATTTGTGTGGGATGACCTAGATGTTAGAGGGATTTATTTGTCATACTCTTTCAATAAAATTATAAAATTGATATGAAATGTCATATTTTTATTTATATTGTATTTTTAATACAATATTTAAGTTTAAATGTATGCATTAACGTTAAAATATTATGTGATTCTCTAATCATCAATCCTGCACAAAGTCAGTTCCTTTTCTTAAAAAAAAAAAAAATTAATGAATGACTAGGGTAGGCAAGTACTTTATGGTTCATATATGACAAATTCTTTCATTTTCCTTTTCTTATCATTCTTGTTTTGCTACCGTTATGGCGATGATGTAAGAATTATAAATATTGATGACGTATAATACCTCACCTTTTCGGTGAAGTGAAAAACTTTTACGAACAATGCATGCATGACTAACACTGAAACACTAAAGACAAATATCTCAAAAGGCATAATTAGTTTTTTTATTTTATTTTATATTTTTTGCCATGTCTATTGTTGACATCAAATCCAGTAATCTAGATTAAAGGTACTAAAAGTCGGAATATATTATAGCAAATTACCGACTTCTTAAGAATTACCAATTCCCGAAAGATTCAAACTTCGACACTCAAAAAAGGATTGGAACCGACATCCGAAGCCGACGAAAGTAAACCGACATCAAGTCAACCGACTACCACAAAGTTTGAGCACTCCAAACAGAAAGTAATCATTAGAAGCATCTGATTGGACCAACAAAACAAAAAGGCAATCATTGATGTTTCCCGCCGCCTCAAAACAAAGCAGCTCAATATTAAATGCATCTCTATCCATTTCGAGGAAGAGGACAAAAGCCACCGTACTATAAATAGCAGAATTTATGATAGTACGAGGATCTTTTTTCGATCACATTGTACACGAACTAAAGACGACCTCGGTTCTCCCCTTGAAACCGACTTCTGTACTCTTGTGAACATAATCAATAAAATCCAATTTAATCTTTATCTTCATTCTTGAAACATCAACTGTGTTTAATTTTAAGTTGTTAATTCAAAACAGCAACAGTTTGGCGCTAGAGGAAGGGGGTCCCTTGTCAATTGATTGTCTTGTAAACAACACCCAAAGGATGTCGAATTCTGGACGAAATGAACGAAATCCTGACCCAGGGATCAATCGTCATCCAACTCATACAGCTGGAACTTCCGCTGTGCCATCAACCTCGATTGATTATTCAGCCCTATTTCAAGATCCAGAGTTCTTGAAAAATTTGACTGATTTTATGGCACGAACAAGAATAGAATCAACCACAGCGGCTAATCCTCAAATTCGCTCGACCCCAGTTCCACGAAGAAGTAATATTCCTACAACATCACATGCAACTTCTCATCCACATACACATGAATCACAACATGATGCAACTCAAACTCGTGGAGTAGTTCCGGTACAAACTCGAATTCCAGAACCAGCGCGATCAGAGGCGACTGCAGAAAGCCATTCTGGACATCGACCACGACAGCCTACTCCGTCGTTACCAGAACTATCACGACATGATCAACCTTCTGATTTACGACACACTCTCGAACAAACTCATGCTCGTCGTGGGCAGAATGAATTACGTCGTTTGATTGAAAGAAATCGTCAAAGACGCGAATCAGAAGAGTTAGAAATGTTGAGAAAAAGAATTGCTGAGCTAGAGACTTGTCAAGGTGAACATGGAGAATCGCCACGACGAATTCCAGTGATAGAAGAGACATATCAAGAGGTTGGAACTCCTTTAGCTCCTCACCTGACTAGAGAACCAATCCCAACTAAAGTGAAAGTTCCGCAAATCGGCTTATATGATGGAACTTCCGACCCTGATGCCCATCTCGGTCAGTACACGTCTTGGATGGATCTTCATGGAGCGAATGAAGCACTCAGATGTCGGATGTTTTCTTTAACTTTGGGGCCACGAGCTCAAAAATGGTATCATTCTCTATCCCGGTATTCGATCTCCACGTGGCAGCAGTTGAGAACGGCTTTTCGCTCTCATTTTATCGGGGCCCGGGTGTCTTTGATTCCCAAAGAGTCAATCGCAAATATTGTACAAAAAGATGATGAAAGTGTGAAAGACTACATTACTCGGTTCAACGAGCGCATACAAAACATGGAGCAATGCCATCCCGAAACACTATTGGTCACAGCTATAGCCGGGTTGAAGCCAAATTCGTTGTTCCGATGGAGTATATGCCAAAACAAACCGACTTCATTTCAAGATTTTCTAGCTCGGGCTCAACAGCATATTTTAGCCGAAGAATCGATGTCGGTTCCTAATATCGACTTTTCCTCATTAAAGTCGGAAGTCGGGCAAGAATCAAAAAAGAAGAAGAAATTTTTCAAGCCAAATAAGTCTCGATTCGGAAATCCAAAAATACCCGAAGTGCAAGAAGCCAGAACTAAATATCTTAATGAAGTTAAATCCAGCTACCAGACGGTATTCTCGGCAGGAGCAGCAACAATATTCGAAGAATTAAAAGGGAAAGGAATTCTTCCTGATCCTCGACCTGTCAGGACACCCGAAGAAAAGCTTGATAAAACGAGATATTGTTCATATCATAAGTCGGCAGGTCATAATACTGATGAATGTCTCGGTTTACTTTCTGCCTTGTTGCGGCTTATTGGACATCCTCAAGTCCAAAGATTTGCCAAGAATGTTGATTATAAACGAAAAGGAAGAATGCCAGACATACCAGACGATGAAGACGATGAAGAGCGTCCAATTAATCCAAAACGGGTGAGATCAAATGAGAAAGAAATATATATGACGAATCAACGAGAAAAAGACTCGACTGAAATGATGTATCGAGGAGGATACTATAATCCTGACAACTCACACCATGTCCCCCGGGTTAATAACAGCAGTAATGCAATGTCGGAATCACGGAGACAAATAAAAGCGTACGCACGAAAAGCTTTTAACTCGGGAAAAACAGTTTTAACTACTGACCTCCGAGATAAAATTAATGCTCGGAACAATTGCCCGATCACATTCAATGTCGACGATGCAAGCTATTTTGCTCACCCTCATGCTGATCCCTTGATAATCACGGCACCCATCTGTGGAATACCGATACATCGTATGTTGGTGGACACTGGCGCATATTCAAGCATTATGATGTTGCGTACATTTGAACAAATGGGAATCGATCCGGCCGAGCTAAAACCCTGTAAAGATCAAGTTCAAGGCTTTAACGGAACTATAACGACAACCCTTGGCGAAATCACTATGCCAATTCGGTTCGGAATCCCTGGACAAGCTTCCAAAGTAATTATGGAGACATTCAAGGTCATGGATCTTAAAAATCAATATAACGCCATCATTGGACGGACTGCTTTATACAAGCTTCGTGCAGCTGTATCAATATTTCATTATGCACTAAAATTTCCTACTAATAATGGAGAAGGAACTCATTATGGAGACCAGTACGAAGCTCGTGGAATGGTATGGGTAAAACCCTGGCATGAACCCTGTATACCTGTACATATGATGGAGAATATCGAAGAAAGTCAAGAAAATTCAACACTCATCAACTCGGAATCATGTATTACCGAGATGGAACTTGATCCTGAGAGATTAGACAACGATTTAATTTGTGATCGTGGAAAACGTCCGGGAAAAGAGCCAATAAAAGAGGAAGACGTACTTGATCCTCGAATTCAATCTAAGGAGAAAAGCAAACCTGAACGAGCCGAACCATCAGAAAAGGTCGAAATAATATTCATTGATGATCCGGTTTGTCACAAGTCGGTGCAAATTGGGGCCAATCTTCAAGAACCACTGCGAACTCGGCTCATTCAGTTTCTCAAAGCCAATTCCGACGTATTTGCCTGGAAACACGAAGATATGAAAGGAATTGATCCAAAGGTCGCTTCTCATCGACTCAACTTGGACCCGACAATTAAACCAGTAGTTCAAAAACGACGTAAGCTCGGTCCTGACCGACAGAAAGCTCTCGAAGAAGAAGTTCAGAAACTGGTTGACAACAAATTCATCCAAGAGACCAAATACCCGACTTGGGTGTCAAACCCTGTTCTCGTAAAAAAGAGTTCTGGTGCATGGCGACTTTGCATTGATTTTACCAACTTAAATAAGGCCTGTCCCAAAGACAGTTACCCTTTACCGCATATCGATTACATGGTGGATGCCACAGCCGGACATGAATTGATGAGCTTTATGGATGCATATTCGGGTTATAATCAAATCCCAATGGACCCTGATGAGGCGGAACATACATCTTTTTATTCAGCCCGAGGATTATATTGCTATACTATGATGCCGTTCGGTCTCAAAAATGCTGGGGCCACATATCAGAGGCTGGTTAATAAGATGTTCGCTAAACTTATCGGACATACCATGGAAGTTTACGTGGATGACATGTTAGTTAAGTCGGTTCATGCGACTGATCACATTGATCACTTACAGGAAATGTTCAACATCTTGAGAGAATATTCAATGGTGCTTAACCCAAAGAAATGTACTTTCGGAGTCGGTTCTGGGAAATTTTTGGGATACATTGTCACTCAACGGGGTGTTGAAGCCAACCCAGTGAAAATAAAGGCAATTATGGATCTTTCACCTCCCACATCGGTAAAAGGAGTTCAAGCTCTTACCGGCCGACTTGCCGCCTTAAATCGGTTCTTATCCAAATCAACAGATCGATGCAAACCCTTCTTTGAATCTATAAAGAAAGGAAAATGCTTCGAATGGACAGAAGAATGT